GAACATGCGGAAGGGGTTTCCATCCAGGCCATCTGGCAAACTCCTACTCCTTCTACAAAACCCAAGTCTCCTCCTCCCGGGAGCCTTCCCTGCCCCCACCCCGACCCCCACAGGCACCTCTGAGCACTTCTCACACTGCGCTCATGTACCCAGGGCCTTGCTGTGTGGCTCCGCCCTAAACTTCATAAGCGTCATCTTCTGGACTCTTCACTGCAATCCTCTGAGCGGCACTATTATTGCTCCCATTTTAGAGGAAACTGAAGCACTGAGCGGTTGCTCTGTCACATGTCTGAGTGGCGGGCTTTGCTCCGCGGCTTCTAGTGACATCATGGGTGAGAAAGCGCTTCGGAATCTTGGAATCACCTTCCTAAGACAAAGAATGGTTCCTGGATTTAATTTTTTTCTCCCCCTCCCAACAAGTTTTGGAAAGCAAGGCTGCAGAAAGACACGGGGCTCTGGAGGCGGCCCGGGGACAAGACTGTCTGGGCTCCGGGTTCTCTGAGTCTCAGTTTCCCTACCGAGGGTGGCGAAGCTCGAAGGCCTCGCCCACGCCTGTGACTGACGGCGCTTACCTCCAATCAGGGCCTGTGCAGCTAGGGCCGCCCGGCCGCGAACACCTAGGATGAAGCTTTGCTGACACCTGGTGGCTGCAGGGGAAGTGGAACCTTGAGGACCGATAAAAAGGGTCCGCCCGGTCCTGCGGAGACCGGAGAGGAGGGAACTGTAAACTCAGAGGGGAGGTGAGTAGGGAGGACGCGCAGAGCACTCCCCACGCGAGAGAGAAAGAGAGGGAGGAAGAGGGAGGACGGACAAGGCACTCTCTAGGAAGTCCCCAGGAGGGCTGGAAGTCGGAGGTCAAGGCGTTGGCAGAGTCGGGTTCCCCTGGGGGCTGCAAGTGAGAATCTGCTCCGTGTTTCTCTCCTACCTTCTGCTGGGTGGCCGACAATCTGTGGCACTCCTTGCCTTGCAGAAACATCACCCCAGCATCATCTTCACATGGCATTCTCCCTGTGTGCGTGGCTGTCTCCACGTTTCCCGTTTTCATAGACACCAGTCACATTCCAATAGGGGCCCACGCTACTCCAGTATGATCCACTCTTAATATAACTAATTACATTTGGCCGGGCATGGTAGCTCACACCTACAGTCACAGCACTTTGGGAGGTGGAGACTGGAGAATTGCTTGAGGCCAAGAGTTCGAGACCATCCTGGGCAACACAGTGAGACACCCCGCCCACCCCCCCACCCGCCCCCCGCCAAATCTCTACATAAAAAATAAAAAAGTTAGCAGGTGTGGTCATGCACGCCTGTGGTTTCAGCTTCTCCAGAGGCTGAGGCAACAGGATCACTTGAAAACCCAGTAGTTGGAGGCTGCAGTGAGCTATGATTGTGCCATCACACTCCAGCCTGGACAGCAGAGTGAGACCCTATCATTTAAAACAAAACTGCACTTGCAATGACCCAGTTTCCAAATAAGGTCACTTTCTCTAAAGTACTAAGGATTAGGATTTCAGCATATGAATTTGGGGGGGTTCTCGTTCAATCCATAATAATCACCATTGCTCTACTCTCAAACTATTACAATCACCCCAGAGTGAGAGCTTCTAAGGACAGGGAATCTGTCTTACTGCTTTGTATCCCTACTCTGCCCAGTTCCAGGAGTGAAATAGGCACTCAATAAGTTTTGGATGAAGAATCAATAAAGAAATGGACGAAAGTAACATTTATTTAGCATGTATTAGTTTCCATCTTTATGATAATCATTTTAACCACTTTAACAAGGTTTTCCATGTGCCCCCACATCTCTGCATTTCAGCCACCACCGTGCCTTTGTGGAGTTCCTCAGAGCTACCAGGCTCCTCCCACCACAGGGCCTTTGCACATGCCACTCTCATCTGAGACACTCTTCTTTAGCTTCTTTACCCCTGTAATTTCTACTCTTCCTTGAGATCTCAGCTGGAGTCTTTTCCTCAAGGAAGTAGCTTAGACTTGTGTGGATTCTGTTTTTTTAACTTTTATTTTAGGTTCAGGGGTACTCGTGCAGGTTTGTTATAAACTTGTGTCATGGGGGTTTGTTGTAGATTATTTCATCACCCAGGTACTAAGTCAAATATCCAAATAGGCACGCAGTAGGTAATGGTTGAAGAATGAATGAAGAAATAGATGATAGTAACATTTATTGAGCACTTACTGGTTTCTTTTTTTTTTTTCTTTTAACTTATTATTTATTTATTTATTTATTTATTTATTTTTGAGATGGAGTCTCACTCTGTTGCCTGGGCTGGAGTGCAGTGGCACAATCTCAACTCACTGCAAGCTCCACCTCCTGGGTTCAAGCAATTCTCCTGCCTCAGCCTCCCTAGTAGCTGGGGTTACAGGTGTCCGCCACCACACCTGGCAATTTTTTGTATTTTTAGTAGAGATGAGGTTTCACCGTGTTAGCCAGGATGGCCTCGATCTCCTAACCTCATGATCTGCCCGCCTCAGCCTCTCAAAGTGCTGCAATTACAGGCGTGAGCCACCTTGCCTGACTTTTTTTTTTTTTTTTTTACACTTAAGTTCTGGAATACATGTGCAGAACATGCAAGTTTGTTACATAGGTATACATGTACCACAGTGGTTTGCTGCACTCATCAACCCATCATCTATGTTTTAAGCCCTGCATGTATTTGGTGTTTGTCCTAATGCTCTCCCTCCCCTTGCTCCACACCCCTGACAAACCCCAATGTGTGATGTTCTCCTCCCTGTGTCCATGTGTTCTCATCGTTCGACACCCACTTATGAGTGAGAACATGCGGTGTTTGGTTTTCTGTTCCTGTGTCAGTTTGCTGAGAATGACGGTTTCCAGCTTCATCCATGTCCCCGCAAAGGACATGAACTCATTCTTTTTTATGGCTGCATAGTATTCCATGGTGTATATGGAGCACTTACTGGTTTCTACCTTTATGATAATCATTTTAACCACTTTAGTTCATTCAACAAGGTTTTCCACTTTTCCAAATGTGAGGGGATGCTTCTAAATGGAGTCCTAAAGGGGCGAGAATTTCTAAAACATTCCTGAAAAATCATGTTATAGGGCAGTGGTCCCCAAATGTTTTGGCAGCAGGGATCGATTTTGTGGAAGACACTTTTTCATGGGCTATGGGCAGGGGACATTAGATTCTCATTGGAGCATGCAACCTAGATCCTTTGCATGTACAGTTCACAATAGGGTTTGCATTCCTGTGAGAATCTAACGCCACCGCTGGTCTGACAGGAGGCGGAGCTCAGGCTATAATGCCCACCTCCTGCTGTGCAACCCCCATTCCCGGCCACGGGAGGCCCAGGGTTTGAGGGCCCCTGTTTTAGGGACCTCAACACTGACTACAAAGCAGTAGTCATGAACATAAAGTGGCAAAGTGCGGGGATACACTGACTATAGGAACAGAAAAGACAGCCCATAAAATCACCCCATCTATGGGGAAGGGGATGGATCAGCAAGGTGACTGCGCTGCAGTGCAGCAAATGGACTCCTTCATGAATGATTTTAGGACATCGGATGTCCAAAGTGGAAAAAAAAAGAAAAGGAAACTGAATCTCTACCATACACTACATGCAAGAATCAGCTCCAGAAGGATTAAGAACGCAAATGTGAAGAGCAAAAGTTTTAAAAGTTTAGGGAAAAAAATATATTGGGGAATTTCTTTGTAACCAGGGATTAGAAAGAATTTCTTCAAGGTTGGCCGGGCGTAGTGGCTCACTCCTGTAATCCCAGCACTTTGGGAGGCCAAAGCAGGCAGATCACAAGTTCAGGGGTTCAAGACCAGCCTGGCCAACATGGTGAAACCCCTACTAAAAATACAAAATTTAGGCGGGCATGGTGGTTCATGCCTGTAATCCAGCTACTCGGAAGGCTGAAGCAGGAGAACTGCTGAACCCGGGAGGCGGAGGTTGCAGTGAGCCAAGATTGTACCACTGCACTCCAGCCTGGGCAACAGAGCAAGACTCTGTCTTGGGAAAAAAAAAAGAAAGAAAGAAGAAAGAATTTCTTCAAGGAGATGTGAAAGGCATAAACCCTAAAGGAAAATATTGCTGTTTGACTATATTAAAATTTAAAATGGCATCAAGAGATACCAAAAACAAAGTGGCAAGAGGCTGCACCCAGGAAGCAGATATTTGCACTGCATATTAACCAACAAAAGCTGAGTCTAAAGATAGAAGGCCTGCAGCATCTCGTTTCAGCCTTGTCGCAATCCCATTAGGAAGGTACTGTTTCTCTCCCATCTTCCTCAGTAGAAGCATCAAAGCTCTGAAGGCAAAAGGACTTGCCTGAGCCTCTATCCCTGGCCAATGCCCCAGAACAGCAGTATAAACCCAGCCTTCATTCCCAGATCATTGCATCACCTTGAGCCTGGCTACAGCCAAGATCCTCACAGCTCAGTAGTCTCTTCCTCATTGAAGTAGCTTAGATGCTGTGTAGATTCTTAAATTACTAACAGTTGCCCGCAGCCATATGATGAATGAATGAACACACTCACAAACGTGGCATTCTGACCTCTCCCTGGGCTGGAGTGGGGGATTCAGGGTTCTTGGCTTCTCTTGCAAATCAAAAAAGACTCCCAGACTCAAGGGGATAATGTGATAATGTGATAATAGCGGGCAGTGAACACGTTTTTAAGGGCTGGGGCACCCATCACATGCCCCTGAGAATGACTGTGCTCAGCAACCAGCATGTAACAGGGGGCTCAGGAGCTCAACCAAGTCAGCCACTCAGAGGCAAGGGAATTTCAAGTCAGATGAAGAAACAAAGGCTCAGAGAGGTTGGGCACTGTGTCCAAGGTCACACAGCTAAGCAGCTGCAGAACTGTAAGATTCAATAAGGGTTCTGTTGCCCTACCCCTAGCCCAGATACATGCTGATTCTCATTTCTCTCTCGCTGTCTCTCTCTCTCTCTCTCTCTCTCTCTCACACACACACACACACACCCCCAGCTGCTGGGGGGATCAAAGACCCACAGCAGACAAGTTGCAAGTCACACTTTATTCACTCTCTGGTTGGTCTGGAGGGTTCCTGGGCAGCAGGTCTGGGTCCTGGGAAGGAGGCATGGTGGGGAGGGCACTAGTTGGAGGGGTGGAAGGCGCCACGTTGGTGCCACTGCATGTCGCGGATGCGGCGCACAGACTGCACCTGGGGGTGAGGGGCCCCAAAATCGCTGCTGTCCTTGTAGTCTCCCTTCTCCAGCAGGTACTGCAGTCCGCGGTAGCCGGGGTACTGGTAGCCAACCCACCTGCAGGACCAGAGGTGAGGGGAGGGTGAAGCGGGGGAACAGGAAGAGAAACAAGAGAGAAGCGAGGGGAGAGCATCCATAAGCCACTAGGAAGGGTGAAGCCTCCCAACCACTGCCACTTCCCAGGAGTAAGCAGGACACCGTTTCCACCCCACCCTTCCAGCACTGAGCCTCTGCTTTCTTCCTTCTCTTGACAGGGAGCTCACTGCCTCCTGAAGCAAATTTTGACTGAAGGCCTGGTACTGGGGTCAGAGCAAGCGGGTGGTATCTTAAGCTCACTGAAGTTTAGAATAAGCCAGGCCTTTGAACCATCTCCATCCACTCCTATTCCACCTCCAAGCTCAGCTGCAAGGCCAAAGAAGAGCTGGGGGAGGTTCCAGGGGCCTTCTGATGAAAGAGGTTCCAGGGGCTACTTGATGAAAGTGCTGGTCTTCTCTCCAGAAAATGGCACACAGGCCTGGCCTGCAAGGACCTGCCTGGCCAGTCTCTGTGGACATCTCCAGCTCTACTTCGCATTCTTATGCCCCCACATCTCTGCATTCCAGCCAGTGGCCTTTGTAGAGTTTCTCAGACCTACCAGGCTCCCCCCACATGCACCACAGCGCCTTTGCACATGCTGCTCTCATTATCTGGGACGCTCTTCCTTGGCCTCTTTACCCCCCACAATTCCTACTGTTTCTTGAGATCTCAGCTCAAGAATCTTTTCTCCAAGGAAGTAGCTTAGACTTACGTGGATTCTTAAATTATTAACAGTTGCCCCTTCTAGACTGTTGGCTACACAGGGCAGAAGCCAGATCTCTTTAATCTCCTTCACCATCGGCACCTAACACAATGCCTGGCATATGACAGCACTGACAAATTGAATGAATGAATGAATGAATGAAGGGAATGAGGGAATGAAGGGGAACAGGAGTACAGAACTTTGCACACCACTTTAGGAGTTTGACAAACCCCAAGAAGCCAGTATATTTGGCTAAACTGGTTCTGTTGAGGGGAAAGAGCCTTAATTTGTAGCACTTGCTCATTTCTATGCTGTAAATGCACCCACTGTGGCTGGTTTCAAGCTACCAGTGATTAGTCAACCAGTTCACACAAATTCTGAAAATGTAAGAGTTGGTTCCAGGCTGGGCGCGGTGGCTCACGCCTGTAATCCCAGCACTTTGGGAGGCCAAGGAGGGCAGATCATGAGGTCAGGAGTTTGAGACTAACCTGGCCAACACAGTGAAACCCCGTCTCTACTAAAAATGCAAAAAAATAGCTGAGCTTGGTAGTGGGCACCTGTAATCCCAGCTATTTGGGAGGTTGAGGCAGGAGAATTGCTTGAACCTGGGAGGCGGAGGCTGCAGTGAGCCGAGATTGTTCCACTGCATTCCAGCCCGGGCAACAGTGCGAGACCCCATCTCAATTTAAAAAAAAAAAAAAAAAAAAGCTGATATAAGCTATTTCCAACACACCGCTGCCCAAAGCTCATCTGTGGACCCCCCATGGAATCCAAATTTTTTACCATGAGAAATCCCTCATTGCTGATGGCCAGGGTCGATGTGCCCAGGAACTTCAATTCCGTGGAAAATGACACCTCCTGTTCCCAAACTTAGGGACACATGCGGTCAAAGGCAGCACGGGCTGGTCCTCCTGCTTCTCACAGCTTTCAGACTACTCAACTCATTCCTTCCCTCCTGTCTCAACCTAATCCTCCTTCTGCCTCAACTTGCCCCTCTGACATACATGTCTTGCTCACTGGGGCTAAGGTAAAGGCCAAGGTTTCTCCACTCCAAAGGCTGTTTCCCCAAAGGCAGCTCTAGAGAGAAATTCAGGGGCTGTAAGCCACCTGTGGGCAGAGAATTCCCATTTACTTTCCAGTGGGAAGCCAGAGGTCAGCAGAGTACACTGATGTGTGCAAGATCACCAGTGTATACAGAGCAGAGCAGGACTTAGGACCCCAGAGTCTCAGTTCCTGGGGCAGGGTGAGCCAGGGCTGGCAATGCACTTACGTGCCACTCTGCACCCGCACAGATGACACCTTCTCCTGGTAGCCGTGGGCGTGGAAGCTGGGTACGTCGTCATCTATGATTTCCATCTTCTTCCCGGTGAAGTTGGGGTTTTCATAGAGGATGATCTTGTGCTCTTGGCTGTCCTATTGGCAGAGGATATGGGGAAGTGAGTATGGGTGACGGGGCCCAGGGTTGGCCTTCCCACCCCATGCTCATGACCCAGAGTTGGGATCCGCATGTCCTACACATCACTCTCTGCCCAGTGCACCTACCACGTGTCTATGACAACTGCTGTTGGATCGCAGCCATTTGTTAAGTTTCTACTGGGCCATTTTCATGTAACAGACACTCTGCAACACTTTGGGGAATATTTGATTCTGAAATGTCATTTTTTCCTCCTATGCCTCAAGTTTCTCTTTTATAAATGGCAGCTACAATCTACCACCCACTCACAAGTGCGCACCCACACATGCACACACAGGCACACACACAGTGGCACACTCACAGGCATACACACACAGGCACATACATACACATACACGCACACACACAGGCACACACACACATGCACACCCACACATGTGTGCACACACAAGCGCACACACACATGCACACACACGTGCACACACATGCACACATACGCACACACAGGCAGACACAAACACACATGCACAGGCTAATTGTGCCTCTAATAGGCACCTGAGATATTTTGATTTTTCTTCATTTCTACATCTCTTCCCATCCTCCTGTTCCTGTAACATTTTCCTTAATTATCTAATCCCTTAAACATTTTCAGTTTAAGATAAGATTTTCAGATAAGAAAACCCTTATCCCTTAGACATAAAATCCTTTTATGCCATTTGGCAGATGAGAAAAATGAGGCACAGAGAAGTCAAATGACGTGCTCAAGGTCACAGAGCTGGGAGCAGCACAGCCAACATGGGAACCTGGGTCTGTGGGGTGTGAAGTCCAGTGTTCTCCAACCTTCCAGTAGGTCCTGGGAGGAGCTAGACTGGGCTTGGAGGGTTTGGGAGTGTAACTGAGCAGTGATGGGCCCTGTCCCCTCCCCGACAGTTTACACACTCACACACTAGTAAGAATCAGGATCTCAGAAGCACTGAAAACTCACACTGGCATGAGTCTTGAAGAAGAGCTAAACCACCTTCTCCTCCAGTCCTGAACTCAGAATTTCTTGTATTTCTTATGGCTATTGATTATTGAGCAACGACTCTGTGATGGGAGTTGCCCAACCCTGCGGGGTGGGGGGCACCAACCACGTAAAATAGAATGTGAATAGTGCCCTCTGGAGCATTTCATAGTCTTGTGATTGGAGACCCCTGGAGTTGCGCAGCGTGACAACCCTCAAGCTAATAAGCACATTGGAATCTCAGGACAGTAGATACCAATATGCCCATTTTACAGATGAAGAAACTGAGGCTCAGGGAAGTAAAATGACTTTTGCAAGGTCACCCAGTGAGGAGATTCCTCACCAATCAGAAGGGGCACAATGCTAGAGGGGCAGGCTCCTTCCTGGTCTCAGGACCTCCAGCTCCAAGGTGGCAGAGACAGAAAGTAGGATGATGGGCAGAGAGAGGAAATAGAATGATGGCAGGGGGCTCACCACTTTGATGGGCCTCAGGGAGCTGAGGGAGTCCGTCCTCCGGCTGCTGGTCCACGAGTCCCAGCGGGGGTACTCGCCCTTCTCAAACACAAACTGCTCGCCCTTGCAGTTGGCCTGTTCATAGCCCACCCAGCTGCCATGGAGACAGAGAGAAAGGGGGCAGGTCAGTTCCACTCCAAGCTTCCTATGGCAGGATCCTGGCTACTCACGTTGACCCCTGGGGTTCACTCTTGCCCAACCCGGCAAGATGTAGTAGCCCCACCCGAACCTTAGCACGGCAAATCCAAGCGCACAGTCCCCCCAGTTATCCAGAACTCAGTGCTATGCTGCCTTTAACCACCTGGAACACAGTTAAGAAATAAGAAGGCGGGCCTGTAATCCCAGCACTTTGGGAGGCCGAGACGGGCGGATCACAAGGTCAGGAGATCGAGACCATCCTGGCTAACACGGCGAAACCCCGTCTCTACTAAAAACACAAAAAATTAGCCGGGCGAGGTGGCGGCGCCTGTGGTCCCAGCTACTCGGGAGGCTGAGGCAGGAGAATGGCGGGAACCCGGGAGGCGGAGCTTGCAGTGAGCTGAGATCTGGCCACTGCACTCCAGCCTGGGCGACAGAGCGAGACTCCGTCTCAAAAAAAAAAAAAAAAAAAGAAATAAGAAGGCGGTCTAAATAACGGCCCGCAACAAATACCAATATATAGATGCCATGCACTAAAGCCAATAGTATGCGGTAAGTTAACAGCCAACTCTCAAAAAACAAAACAAAAATTAACACTCTTGATTTGCAGCGTTTGCCAATTTCCATGGTGTAAATGCTCCCACTGTGGCAGATTTCAAGCTATGGCACTGCTGCAAGTGGAGCTGGGGAGAGAGATGCACAGTCAGCCTTCACCACTGAGAACTGACCCCAGAACCCCTCGGTTGTGCCCGAACCCCTCTCTTTGGATCTGTTTCTTCTCTTGTCCCTGTTGTTAGACTCTGCCCAAACTCTGTTTTTGTAGATCCACATTAGAAGAAAAATAGTACATTAAGGAGGGAGGGATGGCCTTCAGGTCGGGCATGGGTAATAGAGGAAGGCAAAAAATAGGAGGAAAAAAACCACAAATCTCAAAATGATTAGCATTCTTGGGCCAAACAGTGCAGAGGCAAACATTTCAGCATGTGCAATAATGGCTGTTCAGAGGAATAATCTAAGTTATTAATGGAAGAGGAGATCATGTTTATTATCCTCTTTTGGAAGAGTAGTCTTGATCCAGCAATTCTACTTTAGGCAATGGGTCCTTAGGGTCCAAGGGGCCAGGCGCCATGGCTCATGCCTGTAATCCCAGCACTTTGGGAGGCCGAGGCGGGCCGAGGCGGGCCGAGGCGGGCGGATCACCTGAGGTCAGGAACTCGAGACCAGCCTGGCCAACATGGTGAAACTCTGTCTCTACTAAAAATACAAAAAATTAGCTAGGCACGGTGGTGCATGCTTGTAATCCCAGTTACTCGGTTGTCTGAGGCAGGAGAATTGCTTGAACCAGGGAGGTAGAGGTTGCAGTGACTTGAAATCGTGCCATTGAATTCCAGCCTGGGTGACAAGAGCTACAATTCCATCTCAACAAAACAAAACAAACAAACAAACAAAAACAGTTGTCAAGGGATCACAGATATCTGAATAAGGATGTTCATTGTGGCATTGTTTATAATATCCAGTAACTGAAAAACTTAAACATCCTACAATCAGGGCCTGGATATGGCATATTCAATCATGGACTGTTACAAAGCCATGGTAAGTAAGGACATAAGATGTGGGTTATCAAATGTAATTGGTGTAACTATCACCAGGTAAGCTTGTTAAATGCAGATTCCAGGCTCCAGAGCTAAGTTTGATTTAGTGGGACTGAAGTGGGGCCCGAGAACCTCCGTTTTAAAGCATCTCCCTTCTGTGAATCTGATGTGAATTTTCCTCAAACGACTTTGAAAAGCACCAACATAAAATGCTATTTAATGACATGGAGAGAGTTCATGCTACCTTGTAAAGTTTCCAAAGTGAGTAATAAAACATCATGTTTAGTATGATCCAAGTTTGATTTGATTATACACACACAGAGAGAGAGAGAGAGAGAGAGAGAGAAACAGAGAGACAGAGAGAGAAACAGAGAGAGAAAGAGAGAAGGAAATCTAAATTCATACCAAAATCTTAATAATGGTTACTTCTGAGTAGTGAACAGAAGTCATACGGTTTTTTGCCTTAAACCATCTCTTCTTAGTTTTAAACAATAAATGATAGTTAATAAAAATATTAAATGTTATATTTTTTAAAAAAGAAAGCAGAAGAGTGTAAAATCTCTTTGGGAAATTTTTTTTCATCAAAATATTTGAAAAGGCAGCTGAAAATCAGATGTGATGCTTAAACAGTCAAATCTCAGTTATCCAGAAAGGGATTCTCTTGGATACAACAGATTCCCTGAGCATGTCAGATGACCAAGGCTTGGCATAGCCACTGCTTTAGCTGTGTTCTGCACATTTTCAGGTTCTGACCCATGTAGGGCCGTGGAACTCTGCAGAATTCCCTGAGAACCTTGAGGTGTGGTATGGCTCACCTTAGGATCTCCAGCCGTATCTGACTTACTGACCACCAATGGACGTTTCTACATCCTGAGGCTTTGACAGAGAAGGAGTGATGAGAGAAGCTGTGGTTTGTGTCCCAGACACTCTGCAGGCTCACATAGGACTATGCTCAGCTACATGACATAAGGTGAGTCAACCATTCAGCTCCCCTTCTCTCCTGGATACAGACCTGGCCCCCGAGTGTGCCAGAAAATCTGTAAAGACCCAGTATTATCAGGATTTGGGAAGGGAGGAGTGGATGCAGAGCTGGGACATCCAGCCTTAAACCTCCCAGGATTGAGGACACTCCTGGAGCCAGAGATTGGCAGTTCTAAAAGCTTCATAAGTCACTATGTCCATCTTCCTGCCTTGACCTCTGTATCAGGCTTTCTACATGACCCTTTCCCTTCATCCCCAGAGCACATGGTCATCCTTATCCTACAGAGGAGGAAACTGAGGCTCAGAGGGGGAAGGTCCTGGTCCAACACCACACAGCCTAGAAGTGGTGGAGCCTGGATTTGAACCCAGCTCTATCTGACTGCAAAGCATGAATTATCTCCATACACTGCCAGTCCCCAAAACTTGATCCCCAGATTGCAGACAGGAGAACAGCAAGGGTAGATTCCTCCAGTCCACAACCTGATCACCTCACCCAAAGTCCGTGACCAGGAGAGGCCACCCAGGTACTTACGGTCCAGCCTGCACTAGGACAGAGCCTGCCTTCTCCACGCCAGTCTCCTTCAGGTTGGGGCAGGGCCCATTGAGCTCATGCGAGTGACCTTGAAAGTTTTCCTGCTCAAAGATGATGATCTGCAACGGGAAGCGAGACTCAGACCCTCATCATGATGAAGAGAAGTGACAGTTGGCTGGTAGACGTGGGGAGGGAGCTCAGAGAACCCAAAGGATGCTGAAGGGTTCACCTCCAGAGCGACAAACCAAACATAAAAATCAAACAGCCCTGGCTCTGGCTATAAGCAGCTGTGGGACCTTGAGCCTGCATTTGTCCTCTCTAAGCGTCAGTCTCCCCGTCTGTAAAATGGGAAATAAAGACAGAACCCAGGCTGGGTGTGGTGGCTCACACCTGTAATCCCAGCATTTTGGAAGGCTGAGGTGGGAGGATTGCTTGAGCCCAGGAATTTCAGACCAGCCTAGGCAAGATGGCAAGATCCCACTTCTAATTTTTTTAAAAAGAAAAAGAGGCTGGGCGCGGTGGCTCAAGCCTGTAATCCCAGCACTTTGGGAGGCCGAGACGGGTGGATCACGAGGTCAGGAGATCGAGACCATCCTGGCTAACACAGTGAAACCCCGTCTCTACTAAAAAAAATACAAAAAAAACTAGCTGGGTGTGGTGGCGGGCGCCTGTAGTCCCAGCTACTCGGGAGGCTGAGGCAGGAGAATGGCATAAACCCGGGAGGCGGACCTTGCAGTGAGCTGAGATCCGGCCACTGCACTCCATCCTGGGCGACAGAGCGAGACTCCATCTCAAAAAAATAAATAAATAAATAAATAAAAAATAAATAAATAAAAAGAAAAAGAAACAAAGACAGAAACTGCCTTGTGATATTGTTTGTTAGAAGGATTCAGGGGAGCATAATTTGCACACTGTATTTGCTCGGCTTGTGGGAGACATAATTATGTTAATTAAGAGATGTTGTACAGATTCCAATAAGTGGCAGAGCTGAAATTGGAGCCCAGGCTTGTCTGATGCAGCTGAAATGGAAGCAACACTTTGCGAACCCTAACAGGTGCATGTAGCACCTGGGATCTGGATACGTGCAGTTTCTGAGGGAACAGGTCTGGGGTGCAGCCCTGGATTCTGCATTTCCAATCATCTCCCAGCTGATGCTGGTGCCACTGGCTTATGGACCAAATTAGGAGTACTGACGTGCTAGACCACGCGTTTGAGCTTCTCTTCCTCCCATTAGAGCTGCACCCGTACCTTCATATACACCCCTTACCTCCATTTCACCCATAAAACTACACACACCTGGGCCCTTTCTCCAAGCCTCCACAGAATTCCCAGGTGTCCCTATGAGCTCCCCTTTGAAATACTTCTTAAGAGGACTTCACTCCCCTTGTCTCACCTGGTATTATCAGCCCAAGGGAGGGGGCTCACAAGATCCCCATCAGGGAAACTGAAGCTCTGCAAAGTGAAGAGACCCACTCAACATCTCCCACATCCAAATTAACTATGAGGCTAGCTGCCACCTTTCATGGTTCCAGTGAGAATTTTGGAGGCAGAGCTTTTTCAGCCACATTTCCCCAGCAAACTGCCCCTGGATGAAAAGATGGGCTCAGGTCAGCACACTCCCAGTCGGGGAAGCTACAGAATCGACATGGTTAGCACAGGCTGGATAAACATAGCCCTGACTCCCAGGCCTGGGATTAGCCACACAAAGAAAGGGAAAGGGGTGCCCCACAGGGCTTAGAGGTGAATTCCATGGGCTCAATCCAGCCTTCACAATCAGTGACCCAGCCCTTTGCGGTCACTGACTCGGCCAGAGATAGTGTCAGGAGACAAGGGCTCCATTGTGTCCTCTGTTACATCCAGTTGTGCAAACCTAAAAAGCAATTCAATACTCTGGGCCTCAGTTCTCTCATCTGTAAAATGGGGAATCAAGAATGTGGAAGTTCGAGGCTAGTTTATTATTACCCTGGCCTGGGAGACAAGGGCTTGTGGGTGGTTAGCCCATAGTATTTGCGCTGCTTGTGGGAGACATAATTACGTTAATTAAAAGACATGCTACAGATCTCACGTGAATAAGTGGAAGAGCTGAAACTGAAGACCAGGCTTGTCTGATGCACCTGAAATTGAAGCAGCACTTTGTGGACTCTAACTTGTGCACATAACACTGGGATCTTGATCAAATGCAGTTTCTGAGGGAGCAGGCCTGGGGTGCCCACCTGAATAGGGTTAGGCAGGTGAGGAAGGGTAGTTTCTCCATGCATTTGAAAGCTCAGAAGCTCAGAGGACCCAGGAGCTCACTAGCATTGTTATTATTAATCGATAGAGTGGAGGGCAACATTTTACAAATTGTCTAATCCTTTAAAACTGCACTGTCCCAAACAGCAGCCATCAGCAACATATGGCTACTGAGCATGCATAATTAGTCCATACTATTACTTATACTGTGCTATAAGTATAAAATACACATCATATGTTGAAAATTCAGAATGGAAAAAATAATGTAAAATATCTGCCTAATAATTCTCACATTGATTACATATTAACATGCTCATCTTTTGGATATATTGGGTTTCATAAAATATAATATGAAAATTAATTTCACCTGTTTCTTTTTACTTTTAATGATATGGCTACTAGAAAATTTTGCATTACCTATGTGGCTCACATCATAGGTCTAGTGGACAGTGCTTCTTGCTTTTTTCCAAACTCACCCAGCTCATTCCCACCTTGGAGTCTTTGTGCCTAATGTTCCTTTTGTCTGGATGCTCTCATCAACCTTCATCCTTATTTTTAATTTTTCTGTGGAGATGGGATCTCACTATGTTGCCCAGGCTGGCCTCAAACTTTTTGGCTCAAGCAGTCCTCCCGTCTCGGCCTCGCAAAGGCACCCCCAATTTTTACATAGCCGCTTCCTCACTCGACCCAGGTGTGTGCTCAAAGTCACCTCCTCAGAGAGGCCCTCCTGGAACACCTGAGCTAACACAACCATTGCGACTCTCAGGAGCCCTTTCCCCTAGTTTACATTTATTTGTAGCACTTCTCACTACTGGAAATCATATATTCATTTATTTATTGTCTGTCCGTCTTCTGGAAAGTAAGTCCCATAAGGGACAGATCGGGGTGAGCAGGTGAAGGGCTGCATCTGCTCAGGTTTCCCTGGCCCAGGAGGCACCGAGTCAGACCAAGGGGCCATTCCTGAAGGAACCTGTGCCTGGAGCTACCAAAGCAGAGAGGCACAGGAGGGCAGCCAGGTGGGTGCTCCTCGATAGAGGTTTGAGGGCAGACTCGGTGTGACAAGCCTCTGACATTGTGATAAGATCCTGCTGCCCTTGGGCAGGCAGGTGAATGAGAAATCAAAGAAGGGATTATTTGATGGTGTTAGGTAGATGCGCACCCCGGGCCGGGTGTTAGGTTGAGCCTGGTTTCTTTGGCTCTTACAACTTCCCTATGCAATAAATCTGACTCCTCCTTTTACAGAGATGGAACGGAGGCTCAGAGGGATCAAATAATTGGCCTGGGTCACATAGCAGGTGCAGAGCCAGGACTCACACCCACATTCCATCCACTAATCCCATCTCTGACTGAGAATGAGGGTCTACTCCAGTTTCAGGGAGCCCTGTGGACAATAGGGTGTGGGAAAACAGGTAAGGGAGAGAAACTGAAGTCTCCAAAGCCAGAGGCTGGTACTGGGAATCCCAGCATGCCAGCTATGGGCTGGGAAGGGACTCTCAGAATCAGCCCCAAGTGTGTGGGTAGGGGAGACTGAGTCCCAGAGAGGGCAGGGGTGGAGAGGGGGTACCTGTGAAGAAAGATGCCAAGCCCATTTTACAGAAGGGCAACTAAGTCTGGGAGAGGAGCATTGCATGCCCCCTCCTCCGAGAGGTACCCACCTTGGGGTTGAGGGACTGTGGCTTGCCCGCCTGGGTCTGGTGGTCTGAGGCCATGGTGGACTGTCCCGTGCAGGAATGACCTGGAAGACATGGGAAGCAGCAGTGAGGACCTGGAGGGGCCACTGACTTTTTCACTCTGTGGGGACTTGGGACCACTCCTCTCTGGCCCCAAATATTCTTCTTTTCCCCCTGGTTTCAGGCTGTCCCAGAGCTGTGGGTTCCATAAGCAGCTACTTGAACTTCTGTCCTTAGCTTCATTTATATCTATCCAGGTCAGCGCCAGGAAGAGGGAAAAATGAAGTCCACTCAAAAAAAGAGTGGGGCAGTGATAAACTGAGCTTAAATGAGGTCCCAAGTGGGTCCCCAACACTCAACCCCAGACAATGGATACCATGCAGAATATAGAACAGTCAATCCCAGAACTTCTGCCTTTATGCAGAAATTTCCTAAATAAAATTGTATGGAACAAACAAAGCCTATGCATTGGCTGTATTTTGTGGTGTGGTGGTGCCCAGTTTAGGAACCCACAAAGTTCCCTGTCCGCCTGCTCTTTCTCCCACCCTCTCTCTGGGACTCCTCTCCCCATCCCGGTACCTAGATTTCTCTTCTCTGCCACTGGTTTTATGCCCCCATTAGTGAAATCATCTGATACAGAACCCATGTTACAAGAAAGGGAAGAGGCCGGGCGCGGTGGCTCAAGCCTGTAATCCCAGCACTTTGGGTGGCCGAGACGGGCGGATCACGAGGTCAGGAGATCGAGACCATCCTGGCTAAAACGGTGAAACGCCGTCTCTACTAAAAAATACAAAAAAATAAACTAGCGGGGCGAGGCAGCGGGCGCCTGTAGTCCCAGCTACTAGGGAGGCTGAGGCAGGAGAATGGCCTAAACCCGGGAAACGGAGCTTGTAGTGAGCTGAGATCCGGCCACTGCACTCCAGCCTGGGCGGCAGAGCAAGACTCCATCTCAAAAAAAAACCAAAAACAAACAAACAAACAAACAAAAAACAAGAAAGGGAAGAAATGGGTGCAATGGTAGAAACCCAGGCACCGTGGCAGGCAGCAGGATAGGCCTGCCTTAGCTATTAACAACATCAGAAAAGTCTGGAAAATTGTCAGCCTCTTCCCGCTTCCTGCAGGAGGGGTGGTCAAAGCAGGCTGTTTCCTCAGGGGTAAGAGAGGAAGCCTGGCTTTCCTCTTCAGAGATAACGCCCAGCTTCCAGAAGCCCCTTCCACATGAAAGGCCAAGACCGGATGTTTCCCAGGAGGAAGAAATTCAGTTAAGCACCTTGGGAGCCAAACCTACTGCTCTCCGGCAAGAAACCAGCCCGCTGGGCTCGTCAGAGTGCCTGAGGTCCTGCCCTGTCGCTTCCGGGTCCTGAGTGTTCACAGACTGAAGAAGCTCAGTTGGTCCAGTTCAGGAGCAGTCTCTGCTGCCTACCAGAATTGAGACTCTGGGCAGGTCGCATCCTCTCCCTATGCCTCAACTTCCTGTTCTGTAAAATGGGGGCAGTAATGATGTCTAATAATACCTGTGAACAGGTTGTGAGGATTCAATTATGTAATGTATAAAACCGGAAGCACTTGGCCGTGGTCCCAGAACACACTCAGCATGCAGCGAATGGCAGCAATTGTGGCATTATTAGAGTCATTTCTACCATGCTTTAGTGGCATTGAAATAACCTGTTGCTGGGAGCTGTCACATACCTGAGGCTACATCCTACCCCTAGCACTCTCAGAGACTGGGCACAGAGTGGGTGACCCAGAATTGCAGATGTAGAGGAAAACTGACTCACCCACCTAGAAACAAGGCTGAACTGTCACTAGTTTGATTCTTGCAAAACCCTGAGTTACATTCTCCTCCTCAGCGACTGACAAAACAAGGATGCTGATAGTCTGTTTAATATTAATAATAAAGAACATTGCTGCAATACCCACTGTGTGCCAGGCACTGTGCTGGATGACCCACCTACCTTCTCTTGAATCCTCACAATAAAGAAGCCTTTTGGACCCCCTTCCCATTTACCAGAAAAGAAAACTGAGGTTAACAGCATTCAAGTCTCTGCCCAAAGTCACTTGTCAGAATCCAGGTGCTCCCATGCTTTCCGGCAGGGGTGAGGATGACAGAAAGAAGGGAAGACAAGCAAAGGAGGCAATCTTACCAGTGACACCAGCCCCTGCGAGTGCTGTGAAGCTCGGCCAGCGGGAGGTGGCATTTATACCTTCCCCAGAAGTGCCAGTGCCAAGATGAGTGACTGCTGTGTTCCTGCGAAAAGCAGGGTGAGAATGCTGGATTAAGCTCTCACCAAAGCCCGGGTCAGCAAATGCCCACAGACATTGTGTCTCTGCACAATAATGTCATTAGCTTTCAGATTCGGCCGCGCCAGGGCGGTCAGGCGGCTAGGCAAGGAGATGTCTGCTTTGCATGCATCAGCCGTCCGGCTGCCAGCGCTGGGGGCACACTGGGTTCACTGGTGCGCTCAGTCAGGCCCTGAGGCATGGCAGACACAGAGGAACATCTCCGTGGACCTGGGGAAGAACAAGTAAAGAAGGGTGGTTTGGCAGAGCCTGGGCTTCGTTCATCTTCTCATTTATTCATTCAACAAATATTTGCCGGGCATCCATTTGGTGACAAGCTCTGTTCTAGGGGAGACTGTCAGGAAGAGGACCTACTCCAGCCCAGGCATTTCAGAAAAGCTCCTGGGGGGTAGCGCATCCCTCAGGGATGGAGAAGAGGAAGCCTGGGAATAGGGTGGGGGGACAGGTCCAAGTAGAAAGGGTCCATATACAAGGAACCAGCATAGTGTATTTCGAGAAGACCTGAAAACAGGTTAATAAAGCTAAGGCATGCCGTGTGAAAAATAGAGCCTGTGCCAGGTGGACAAGGTGGGCAGGGCCTGGTGTTGCAGGGTCAGGGAGGACAATTATGGAGAGTGCATTTTATTCTCAAGGCCCCTGGCTGTTTCTCTTTCTCTCTTTCTTTTTGAGACGGAATCTCACTCTGTCACCCAGGCTGGAGTGCAGTGGTGAGATCTCGGCTCACTGCAACCTCTGCCTCCCAGGTTCAAGTGATTATCCTGTCTCAGCCTCCCTAGTAGCTGGGAGTACAGGTGTGTGCGACCAGGTCCAGCTAATTTTTTTTTTTTTTT